GATTTGTTCCTCACGGGGCCAACAACGTTTGACAGACTGACGACCACGTGGGCCATTTATGAGCCACACTTAGCCGGCCACATGGGACGGTGTGGACCATATATGCCTCACACCCGCGCCATTGTTTGCGCATGCCGACTTCTCTCCGAGCTTTCGTATGTTTTTTTTTCTGAGGATAAGCCTAGACATTATGAAAGAACTACGTAGCTCTCAGAATACTCAGTCATGTCCTAGGTCGGACAAAGCTTCTTAAGCTTTACAAAAATTTCAGTTGTATGCATTCTTCGCTTCCTTTATGCTGTCATGAAAACAACTCAAATAATGGTGGTAAAAATAAACACAGTACTATACGAACGACAAGAAAGTTTTTTGAATGGAACAGTTGAAGCAAAAACTTGGCTCCAAACTCATCAAGCTTGTTTTTAGTTACTGCTATACATGTCCTTTGGTCGAAATTTTCTAATAATGCCCTTGGGTAATTTCTATCCATCGAACACTGTGTGTTTAGCTACCTCCCTTTCAAAAAACGAGAAGAGCGTCGGGTGCAGACCATACACCACAAATGACGACGGCTTCCACAAAATACAAATCTTTTTGTAATGAAATGATTAGCTGTTGCAGTGTATTTCTATCAGTTGTCACTAATTACAACTATCATTCACATTCAAAAAAAAAAACTACGCTATGAACACCCAAATTCCCAAGTTACTTGAGTGCGCCACTGAGTGGGTATGTCTGCCACCTCAACGCTCTCTCGTTTGAAAGGGGGTACGCCGATTTCCCAAAATGGATAAGCAGCTACCACTAACACTATAGGCAACATACAACAATTTCAGACGGCTACTACCTGTCTCTTTGCCGGGAAACGAAACCTACAAGAAGCATGATCCATTCTCGCCTTCCCATTCACCTACACCGCCCGGCATTCAATAAATTGAGATTACTGTAGCACCCCGTTCGTTACCCCAGAACTTCTCTCTCCTTATTGGAGTACGCCAAAAATCGTAATACTATCAACTGAATAAGACTCCCAAGAATGACAAAATACACCGCCGCTGTAAATAAACTAGTGAATTGACGCGACGAGTACTTCTGGACTACTGCCATCAGGTGTTAATCGGCCAGTGTGGCCGTGGTCGACCCGTATCACGCATAACGATCGGCGGACCTGTTTACCGATGCACTAGCATCAAAAAATACCTCTACAACCCAAACAAACAACAAACGTCATTAATTTAGGACATATTCCAAACAACACACAGAACAAACAGGCCTTTCCTTTGTCAACGCTTATGTGGAAGCCTTTCCATAAATTGCATGTTACACGTATTGTTTACGAAAACATCCCTCTCAATTCGGGATTCCGATTAACACATGATATATTGACAACATAATGGTTACCGATGGAAAACAAAATAGTAACCTACGCACGCTAACTAGATATACAGTCCGCTAGTTTATCCTCATCTCACCCCAAAACCTCCAACCGGATGCGCCAATGCTGCTCATCGCCACTCATGGGCTCTCAAACATAAGGTCATTGGAACGCCCTGTGTCAAAATACATTGGCCGTTTCGATACCAGATATGATTTGATCGCAAAGAAGGAACTACGAGTCAGTGGACGCTGCGTCCAGTGATCTGCTTAAAGTACGGTTTCTATCTCCCTCGTGATTACGCCATGATTAAGGTGTGCGAAGAATAATTGCATTGTGTGGAAGTTTTTAGTCGGATACTATAACTCCATTTCATAGGGCGGAAGTGGTGTAGTGACAAGTGGCGCGCTTACCACGCGAGCGGTCCGGGATCAAATCCTGGGTCGTGAGTCGCCCGGGCCAACCAAGCCTTCCATCCCTCCGGGGTCGGTTAATTGGTACCAGACTTGTCTGGGAGGATAAAAACACTGACTTGTACATCGGCTGGCCCCCGCAAGTCATTGTATAGGCCACATCGCATTCAAACGCCACTACGAATGTACAAATGGAAGTAGAATGCGTGCCGCATCCCAAAAAGGGATTGATCAACGGCAAATGCTTTATCCTTTATCCTTTATTATATGAACTCGACTTCCATCCTTTTAGGCTCCTGAACTCGCCGAAACGTTAGCCAATAAACTGTCAATATCAACCTCGTGTGCAGTTCAACAAAGCTATACCATTCAATCACTAATGCCGAGGTTCAACGAGAGTCGAGCATGGTGACAATCACGAAAGTTATAAAGTAGGACCTAAAGGAGTCATGCCAAAAACACACGTTAGCCCGGCAATTGCAGGGCCGTGTCATTTCAGCACGAATGTAAGGAAAGCGCGATATTTTCTTCATTATAAGCATTTCTGCAACCAACCATACCAATAGCAGCAAATCTATATGCATTACTGAGAAGGTTGAAGGCAAGGTATCGGCTTATGATGCTGCTTTTGCACTAACGCTACCTCTATGGAGGCCCTTACCCAGGTCAAGCAAAATTTTCGAAATTATTCATTTCTTGTGACATTTGTCTCCAAAGGCTTGAAAAACAGCTCATGTGCATGTAACACTTTGTAATTTTTAAAAAATTTCTTCTGGAGTTTCTTACAATGTTCATTCTGGAGTTACAGAAGACTACATACCAAGACCGGCTGTAAGACCGGCATTTTAATTGATATTTTCATTTTAATTGATATTTTTGTGCATTTTTGAGAAGAGACGGAGCACAGCTGTCTCATCTTAAGCACTACCCTTCAGCCCGTATAGGGAATAAAGACCCGCATTGGGCTAGGGGGAAATACTTACCCGTCGTAGGGTGCAAGTGGAGGGCTATTAATAGTGTTATGCATTCAGTAAGAGAAAAGTCGACATCATTTTCATCCATCACTCTTTTTATAATTCATCCAAAGTTGCGTTTTGCGGTGATCTCATCATTTCATGCAAAACTTTTTTAATGTAAAAAGGAGAGCAGTGAACGAACAAAACAGTGAAGTCGGCCAATTTCGGACAAACGCTCCATAGGAAGGACCGCGGCTATGCAAGATTCATGCACTAATTCATTTGTAAGTATAGTGATTTCATAGGCGTTGAGGCAGATGGCAAACGGCTACATATTTCTCCTTAAAAGCACAGGTCAGGATTAGGTGCCAGAGGTAGACTTCTCTAAATGAGAAAGAGGGGTCCTCAAGCCTAGGGTCCCGCAACACGCAATAGTGTAAAGGCGCAAGCACGCCTTGAGCTTGCCGGCGTGCCAATCGTGATCGCGTATATGTGCGTCTAGCCTCTCGCGTACGCAATGCTCTCTCGCGTCTTGATCATCTACTCGCAGCGCTGTGCCTCTCTCTACACAGCCGATATCCAAGAAAAATTTCAATATCTCTAATAGCTTTAGGATTTATAAGTTTTTTTTATAGTTTTTTTATCAAACTTGTTCCTCACCTCATCGCACTTCTTGTCTAATTTTTGAACAAAATACCACTCCAATTCGATGCCATCCCGTGCCTTTGAATTCGAAATGTTTCTGAATTTGGCTTTCGAAACTGACCAATCTAAAAACTGACCATCATCCGCTATTACCCGCAATACCCCGAAAAAAGGTGAAAAAAGGTGCACATTCATGTAAGAGAGAAAAATTAGGACTTAAAGCAACAGTTCAGGGAGGGTCCGAAAATTTCAATGCCACTACTACTGAGGGATACACGAGCCCTAGTGAAGAACATATGCAGTGGAAATAATAAACGAACTTACCTCAGAAACTCAAAAACAGGGTGGAAAGTCCCTCAAACATGGGTGTTCTTGGGGATTTCCCCAATCCCGCCCCCTTGCCGGCCGTCATTGGACGCGTCGGCAATCGTGCTCGTTTTGGGACCACAGGGAAAATTGATTGAAAAATGGAGCGCGTTTACAGCGGGCACGTTCAGACAACTCGTCCAACGTGCGTCTTTATCCATTGCTGAGCGGCAGAGGGAGAGTACCTGTCTAAGACCCTCCCCGACGTTTTTTTCCAGTTTTTCATACATTAATCGTCTGGTTTTCATCTACAACTTCATTATTGGTGGTTTTTTCCCGCGAAACCGTTCCTGAACTGTTGCTTTAACACTGTGCAATCAGCGTAATAGAAAAGAACCATAATGCGTGCCCATGGGTCAAATCTGAGACGAAATCCAAACTAACGCTGCAGCCGCCATCCTTTCGAGGCCACTATTTCGGTAATCAGGTGTTTAGGAGAGTTAAAGCACTGTCTTGTACAGAGAGGGGCATTTCAAAGTTTAGTCTGTTGGGTGGTTGAAACAGGGGCTGCCGCTTAACTCCCTCCATCAATGCTGTTCAATGACGTCATCAAGACCACAACGCCCTCAACTATCGCGATCTATCTCTTGAAATTTGAGCGCGACAAGCAGTTTCACGCGAGGTTTAGAAACAACGTAATGCTTCATAATAGGCTTTGAAGAGCCTTTTGTGCATAAAACTGGAAGTTTCCCAATCTATTTCTGTTGATCAATAAATCAATAGCAAGCACATTGTAGATATACAATATTTACACAACATTTAACAAATTAATATAACTGAAACAATCAAGTTCTCGGTCCGCGAAAGAGTCCGTAGATATGAAGTAGATCAAGAACAGGCAGTTTATAGTGGTGTCATCGACTGCGCGGGGTATGTGTGTGTGCGTGTGCAATCACGGTCAAAACCGCGAACCTGGTTAATTATAGGAGAAAAGATGGGCTTAAAGAAGGATTTTATAGTGATCAAAAGTCAAGGGGCGGGGTTGTCCGTGGACAATGGGCGGAGTTTGCACAACACACACACGCGGGGCGGCAGAACAACAAAATTCACAGCACAACTAGACATAGTACATAGATACGATCGATTGAGCCGTCTTAAACATGGCGACTGAGAAATTACTGAGAATTCCGAGTGTCAATTGAGAGCAGCGGGGACATGTCTCTAGCTGAGGGAGGACCGAGCATAAAGGGGGCAGAACGAAAACTTGAAGCTATGAATAGATTTCTCTTTTTCTGCATACAGCTGTCATCGATGAAGTTGACTGGCAAAGTAATTGGTGAAATGTCGGCCGGGTAGCACTGGAAGGAGAAATGACTCGGCTCCAAGCCGCAACCGTCGAGTGTACGGATCTGGTGTGTTCTCCTAAACCAAGATCATAACTATCAATAATGTCGATCAAAAGGGGCGGAGTTTGCGATAGATCATAACTATAACAGTAACTATATTTTGTCAAGTAAGTAGAGCGTAGCGTACTTCGAAAGAGCGCAGCTTTATTTATTTCATTAGGGCCTTATACCTTGGCGCTTAGGTGTCAGTCCAGCACTCATCCATTTAGTGATTTGATGCCTTGTCACCTGCAACACCTACGCATGTGGGCCAAGAGATCCAGATTGCGACAATGCGACGGAAACGGTGTCGCGCTCGGGGCATCTGCAGTCTGTCTTTTTTTTGAGGCTTTTTTAGCTTTATGTCCTGTCCCCAATGAACCTGAACAACGGGCCAGTGATTACAAGTGATGGCGTCAGATAATATCAGAGTAGCACCAACAACGCAGCTGTATAATCCCTAGCAAACAGCGCGTCGGTTTACGCTGCCACTTAGTTTGTCAATAACGTTCTCAGGTCAATCATGGCAGCACTTAAAGGTTCGGGCTCAGACCCACCTAAGAAGCCCTTACCATGGCTAGAAGTGCTGGGTACGCAAGTGCAAAGGTAGCGCCACCTTTCTACATCGAAACGCGTCACTAGGACCCTAGGCGCCATGGACTTCTAACAGACTCCACCAAACTTAACATGGTCCGCCCACCGTTCGATATCTTGTCTGCGTCGCCACGTTGATCTGCTATGCTCTCTCTTCTCGGACTTCTCTACCGCTCTCCGCGCTCACATTATCTCTCATCTCCCTGCCTGTCTTTTGAACTTCTCCACAGCATAGAGCAAAATGCTCGTATTTCCTGTGTATTTCAGGATTTTCTTTCCTTTTTTCTCCATGGCGGTCCACCTCCCATCCCTACTTTCACATTTGAGTGGAATCAACCCATCAATTTAATCCTGATTCTTGCCTTTAAAGGCCCACCAACATTCAGTACCTGTACAAATTGCCTTCAGAAACCGTGCATGTATATGCAAGTCAGGGTAAATGGGCAACTGGTCTCAAAAAATCGCATGTGCGCTTATAGAGCTACTCGATGGTCTCCTTGACGTTCATGTGTGCTGCTCAGTGTCTGCAATTACGGCACTCCTGCCCGAGGGAAACAGAGCGAATTCGAGAAATAGTGACGCACCTGTAATAAAGCTCTTATTCGGTGCACAAGAAATGCAAAATCGGGTCGATCGTCGGGCAACGATCGCCAACAGCACTGCATTAAGTCGTATCTGAAAAACCTCAGAATTATTTCTATCCACCAAGGATTCAGATGTATCAACCGTTACCTCCTAGTAAATTTAGT